AATGGAAAATAGGGTTTTTGGTGGAAATGAAATAAAGGAACATGGGGTTTGAAAATGAAGTTATGTTGTATCAAAATGGTTGATTATGGTACTTGGATTGATATCTCGAAAAGGGGGATTTTTGCCCTAAAATGATTATCATATTTATTTGATATAAATAAGTGAGATTGGTGTTGTAATCATGGAATTGAGCGAATGTTAAAATAGATGGTGGAATTGAGTATGTAATACTTCATACCTTTGGACATTTTGAATAAATTATCTGTCTCGAGATTGTATATCTGTTTAGAAATATCTGTATTGAACTATCGGTGGAGGATAGCCTTGATTGTTGTAGAAATTGCATGCGGATTAGATGAATTAAAACTAATCTTTTGTTGGTTGTCATTGAATATGGCTATGTTTGTAACAAACCAGATTTTTAATTATTTTGTAAAATTTATACTAATATTATTTAATCACAGTTGGAAAAATATACGATTTATTTATGTAATTTTGTAAAATAATATAATTATTAAGAATTTAGGGGTCAAAGTATAAATAAAAAAACTAAGTTAAGTTTATCCATTGATTAGAGATAAGGTTGAATTAATAGGGTATTCTGGAATGCGACACGTGGCAACCCATGGCTTGATACCCACGGCTACCTTTCTATATAGGGGGAGAATGTGCTCAGAAGGTAGGAAAGAAAGGAAAGAAAGAAAGAAATGAGAGAAAAAGAGAGAAGGAAGGAAGAAAATAATTGAAGCTGAGAGGGTCTTTGGTAGTGGAAAGAAAGAGTGAGGTATTAAAGTTAAGGTGAGTTATGTTATACCTTAAGTCACCATGATATATTTTACGTATATTTTGACTTACCATAGTTTATTTTATGCAAGTTATGTTTTTATAAATTATATTAAGTTATATTAATATTTTAGTTACGTAGATTATTTTCTGAACCCTATTTACTTAAAATGAAACCCATGGATATGTTTGTTTATATTTTAAAGAATATTTGACTTTGATCTTATAAACAATTATGTTTTGTAAGTACCACCACGGGAGTCTCACGCTTTGGGGGACTTAAATAACCATTGGCCTCTGTTTTACCACTTTGTGGTCTTTTGTTTGTCATGGATCAATTGACTTCTGTTCTGTGCGGAGCAAAGTGCTGTGCGGAGATAAGTGCTACATTATTGTGGGAGCCATCTCTATAATCCGTACGAGCCACCTCTTAAATCCGTACCCCTATTTTGATTGTCACTTTTGTGACCTCTATTCTGTACCGTGATTATGGTTATATATTTTTATAATTTTTGTATTTCAATTTCTACCACTTAAATGATTTATTCATCAAACTGAGTTATGTAAATGTTCTGGCCTAACTAACTATCCATAGTTATTTCGTGTCCCTTATACTCTTGGTATAATATTTCTCACTTTGTCATGTACTTATAGTTGTTTACCAATTTTCAGGAAATAATGCAATTCAGAAATAGCTTTTGGAAAGACTTAGATACGGGACTGCGGAATAGACACATACAACACTTTTATGATATTTTTTTTTTACATGTAAATACCGGCCTTTTTGGTTAATACATTTTGTAATAAAAATAGAAGCTCCAATGATTATTTTGGTACCCTCATTTAAATATTACTTTCGCTGGTGTTTATTGATTTGTTTAAGAATTGGCCGGATGTAACCTCAGTTACTGGCCATCACGATGCTTAACCCTTAGGTACGGGAAGCGGGTCATGACAATGTTTATATACATTAGATATGTATGATTATTTGGGAGGAGAAAAGGGATATACTCCATGTGTGATTATGTGTTTATATATATTGTATATGTATGATTGTTTGGAAAGAGAAAGGGGATGGACTCCATTATAATTAAGTTGGCCGGAGTGTCCTGAGTGAAAGTCCCGAAATTTATACATGGGAGCCGATCCCACAGACGAAATATCCGTAAAATGACAATTGGAAGTGTTTGTGTGTTGATTGTGAAATTGTTAAACCATTGAGTTGTAGTCTCATTTGGGTTATAGGAAAACAATGAAATCGGCTCATGTATTGAAATGAATTGAAGGGAAATGAAATGAAATATGACTTGGTGTTCTATGACTATATAAAATGCGATCATTTTATTTCTGGCATTATAAATGCACATTGCACTTATACCTTTGTTAAACCTCATATACTATGTTAGATTATTCCTGCTAGGCTGTGGCTCACCCTATTTGGGAAAAATATTTTCAAGTAATGATTTCTTGCCTCCACCACGACAATAGCATTGAAGGGACTTTTGGGAAGCAAGAGCTTCATGTTTTGTTTCACTTTTTTGTATAGCCTAGGACTAAAATTGTGTAAGCTAGTCTCACTTTTGTTGTAACCAAACCAAGACTTGGAAAGGTGTAAGCCTAAAAAGCATCTATTCATGTTAAACTCTTTGTACTATTAATGTTATGTAATGAAAGAACAATATATTCTGATTCATGCTGTTATTTTTATATACTTTTGGATTATATTCATTGTATAATTTTCGGGGCGTGACACTGAGATAAAGCATATCCTTCAGATGTTCTAGTAATTTTTATTCCTAGAATTACATCTGCTACTCCCAGATCTTTCATCTCAAACTTTTTGTTCAACATTTTCTTTGTGGATTTAATCATGTCATTATTGCTTCCAATAATGAGCACGCCATCCACATAAAGACAAACTATGACATAGCCTTTGTCTGTACTTATGACATAGACGCATTTGTCATATTCGTTTATCTTAAAACCATCCGAAAGCATAGCATGATCAAATTTTTCATGCCATTGTTTCGGAGTTTGTTTTAATCCATAAAGGGATTTGACAAGTTTGTAAACCTTTTTCTCTTAGCCAAGAACTTGAAACCCTTCCGGTTATTCCATATAGATTTCCTCATCTAACTCACCATTCAAAAAAACTGTTTTAACATCCATTTGATGTATCTTCAGATTAATACAAAGTTGCAATCGCAATTAACATACGAATAGATGCTATTCTTGTCACTGGTGAATAGGTATCAAAATAATCAAGGTCCTCTTTTTGCCTATATCTCTTAGCCACAAGCCTAGCCTTATATTTATCAATTGAACTATCTGCTTTTATTTTTCTCTTGAATATCCACTTATATCTAAGAGGTTTACACCCTGGTGGAAGATCCACCAATTTCAAAGTATGATTTTGCAGAATTGATTCAATTTCACTATTCACAGCCACTCTCCACAATAGAGCTTCAGGACTTGACATTGCGTCGTCGAAGTTTTGAGGCTCAATTTCTAACAGGTATGTCAGAAAATCTAGACCAAATGATTTAGAGATCCTAGCCTTCTTGCTACGTCTAGGTTCATTTGCTTCATTATCATTGTGGTTTTCACTGCTACCCATAGCGGTATCAAAAGTTCTTTTATTTGAACTTTTCTATTCAGTTTCCTTGCAAGGAAAAATGTGTTTGAAAAACAACACATTTTTTGACTCAATAATAGTGTTTACATGCATATCAGGATTTTCAGATCTATAAAATAAAAATCTGTATGCACTACTATTATTTGCATAATCAATGAACATGCAATCATCGGTTTTTGGTCCTATCTTAGTCGATTTAGGACTAGGGACTACCACCTTGGCCAAACACCCCCACACTTTGAGGTAATTATAGGTAGGTCGTCGACTCTTTCATACTTCATAAGGTGTTTGATTGATTTTCTTATGGGGTACCCTGTTAAGGATAAAATTAGTAGACAAAATTGCCTTTCTCCACAAGTTCTAAGGTAACCTTGAACTAATTAACATGGCATTCATCATCTCTTTAAGAGTTCGATTCTTTCTCTCAACAACTCCATTTGACTGAGGAGAATAAGGTGCAGTGGTTTGGTGAATATACCATGTTCAGAACAAAATTCCTCAAATGGTGCATCATACTCACTACCTCTGTCACTCCTCACTGTCTTAATAGTTTTGCCAAGTTGACTTTTAACCTCAAGTTTATATTGCTTAAAAGCTTCTAAGGCTTCATCTTTACTTCTCAATAAGTAAACATAGCAATATCGAGTGCAATCATCAATAAAAATAATAAAGTATTTCTTACCTCCTCTAGTTTGAACAAATTTTAAATCACAAATATTTGTGTGAATTAAACTTAGAGGTACAATACTTCTTTCTACTTTATTAAATGATGCTTTAATGAGTTTTGCCTCAACACAAATCTCACATTTATGATTAGGACCAAACTCTAAGTTTGGTAAACATTTTAAAACAACAAGTCTACGCAAAGAATTAAAAGTTACATGTCTTAATCTACTATGCCATAAAAAAGAAGACTTGGCAATATACATAGAAGATGTGTTCTTATTATTAATAGCCAAATTAGGTACAACAGTATTTACATTGAGCTTAAAAAGCCCATTACTCATATAACTTCACCCCACATACATTCCACTCTTGGAGAGTACAACTTTTTTAGATTCAAAGACTAATTTAAACCCATTCTTGATCAACAATGACCCAGAAATCAAATTCTTGCGAATCTCTGGCACATGGAGTACATTGTTGAGTGTGAGTTCTTTTCCCGAGGTCATTTTCAGCATAATCTTTCCTTGTCTTTTCACAGTTGAAGTGGAGGAGTTTTCCATAAAAAGTTGTTCTCCACTTTCCACCACTTTGCAGGTTGTGAACATCTTCTTATCTGCACTGATATGGCTGATTGCTCCAGTATTCATCCACTACTCCTTGGGATTGCCCACCAAATTTGTTTCAGAGACTACTGTAACAAGATTGATGTCTGCCACTGCATCGGGAAGATAAAAATCCTCGGCTATGTTGGCTTGTGTTGGCTTTTTGCTTGAACTCCCTCAGTCCTTGTAAACATGACAATCCCTAGCAATGTCTATCTTTGCCGCACATAAAACACTTGTCTTTGATCTTTTGTTGAACCCGTTGTTGATCCCTTTGTTGATTTTATTAGTGGATCCTTGTTAGGGTCCATTGCCATCATGCTTCTGCTTCTTATTGTTGAACTTTAACCCTTGTCCATGTTCTACAACATTTGCTTTAGCCTGCATAACATGATTTCCTGACTTCTTATCGGAACCACGATTGTCCTCCTCAATTCTGAGCCGTACTATCAGTTCCTCCAATTTCATCTCCTTGCATTTATGCTTCAGATAATTCTTGAATTCTTTCTAGGATTGTGATAATTTTTCAATAATTGTCGATACTTGGAAAGATTCACTAAGAACTATCCCTTCTGCATTTACATCATGGAGAATTAATTAGAGATCTTGAACCTGGCTAATAACCGTTTTAGAATCTATCATTTTAAAATCCAGAAAACGACCGACAAACAAATTTCTTTGTATCGACATCCTCTGTCTTATATTTATAATCTAGAGATTCCCATAGTTCTTTAGCAGTGCTTTTGACACTATACACATTATACAGTGTGTTGTCCAACCCATTGAGGATATAATTCCGACACGGAAAATCACCATGTTTTTATGCATCGACTGCGGCAACCACTTGCTGGTCAGTTTCTCTCTCGTTCAATGCCAGAGCTTTTTCATGAGTGATGCGAGCCAAATTCAATGTTGTAAGATAAAACATTATCTTTTGTTGCTATCTTTTAAAATCATTTCTATTGAATTTTTCTAGCTTCTCCCCATGATTTACCAGTACTGCCGGAGTCATCATTGGCACAACTGGTGTGGGGGTCGGAGTAATAACAGTCTCAGTATTGTTTATTTCAGTTGTCATAATTCTGACGAAATAATAATACACCAATCACAAATTTATACAAAAAAGAATTTACACACAAAAATATACAAAATAATATTTTGTAACAAAATTTCAATGATAAATAATATATTACTACTTTGTTATCAAAGCAATCATTAAACAGTATATTACTACTATTTAAGAAATTAAATAGTATATGACTACTATTTAATTTTCCAAAACAAAATATTCATCTGTCTAACACAGAAATAAATAAAAACGAAATTCTACTTTAAGATTGTTACACCCAACGATGTGTGTGTATAAATTAAATGTATAATTAAAATAAACAACAAAATAAAATAATTCAGGAAATAATTATATAAATTAAATTTCGAATTAAACGCTTACAGAAATTAAAGTCGATACTTGTGTTGGACACAATCTCCTTAAAGTAGATTTCGCTCTCGCTCTGGTGCTTTGAGTTTTAATAGCGTCTACTTCCCAAGATGCAATGACAACTATTTGATTTGTAGCATTACAAAATCAAGTCTTGTGAAACTAAATTATGTGGTAACTCTTTCTCTTTCTTTTCCTAAAAATAAATGCAGAAACAGATACTGGAGTGTAGGAGGACGAATTGAAGAAGAAATTGAAGAAGTTTGGAAATTTTTCGATGCAAATGAATGCTGGAAAGGCAAGATATATATAGGAAAATTGGTGGCTATTCGAACAAGTGCCAACAGATAGGCAACTGTTCGGACAGATTCAAAACAAAAAAGAAACCTGTTTGGACAGATACAGATCTGTCTGGTTCGAATGAACCTGTTTTAAACCCTTTGAACCTGTTCGAATGAAGGAAAAATCTGGACCAATTTATTTTGAATTTTGAAACCAAAATTAAAAATCTATATAATAAACCAGGATGGTTTTTGAATTTGTCCTATACACATTTGTCCTACTAGGACATTTGGACGGCTTAGATCTATTCAAATTATAAAACAACGGCTGTGATATATTTCTAAAAAATATCCTACATGTACATTTTCTATTTTCCCGCTTCTCTCTCTTACTTTTTCCTTTTCTCAGCCATCCTTCTATGATCTCACGATCCCACATTCCTCTCTCTTTTCTATTTATTTTTTTAATTTTCTCTCATTTTTATTTTTCTCTTTATTGTTTTTTTTTTCTCCTTTTTATTCACTTATTTTTATTCATATTATATGGAAAAGTCTACGATCCTAGAATTAGGAGTTAGATTTTACTTTGTGTAGTGGGGGGTTAAATTAATGAATTTTATAGTCCACAAATTAAATGAATTTGAACAATTAATTATTAATTTTTAAATATATTGAATACCTGATAAACTTCATAAATTTCGACCATAAATGAATCTTCAACATATTTTAATAAAGCAGGACGGTTTTTGAATCTTCAACATATTTTTGTCTTATTAGGACATTTGGATGGCTCAGATCTATTCAAATTATAAAATCATAGCCGCGATATATTTTTCTAAAAAATATCATACATATATATTTTATACTTTCCTACTTTCTCTCTCTTACTTTTTCCTTTTCTTACCCATCCTTCCATGATCCCATGATCTTACCTTTCTCTCTCTTTTCTTTTTATTTTCTCTCGTTTTATTTTTCTCTCTATTTGTTTATTTTTTTTTATTTTCTCTTTTTTGTTCAATATATTTTACACATATTTCCATAGAATGTATGTATGCCCGTATACACTAGGACATTATGGGCATACATATAATTTTCATATAATTATATAAGCAAAAATAATATTATATGTATGCCCGTGAAAATTGTATGTATGCTAAGCACATTTATCTATCTAGCTATATATTATATAAGCAAAAGCAAGTTTTCATGAGGAGTTTTGTGAGAACTCCAAAATTTTATAATAAATTTATGATTTTATCAAATTAAAAAATAAATTTAAATAGTGTTGGGATTACAATTATATTCTAATCCTAACATTATTTACACCGTGTCTGACAACCCTCACCTCTGATTAATGCTAAACTGTGACTGAGAGTGATAAGTAACTAATTTGACTGAAATTCTAAATTGATTGCAAGAATATATTGCTTTACTTGCATTTCTATCTGTTTGTCATTTGATTGATCTGTTCATGTTTTAATTTCGAACTGCAAATTGAAGGCCTTATTGACGGCCGAATCAGAAATTGATTAGTGTTATGTGTTAATTAGAATTTTTTTGATTTTATGGTAGATTTAATTGAAATATGATTTGGAACGATTAAATTAGATTAAATAATGTTAAATTAATTGAACTTAGTTATTTACCTAATTGCCATTGAGTGGCCATTTTCTACAACATTGTTTGGCACCTTTATACATCATTTTATTCAGCCATTTTCTTAGACCCGTGGGAGAAAGAGAGAGTTAGGATAAGTTTGGAATTCATCTTGAAATCTTGCTTGAATCTAGAGGAATTGAAGAGAGAATTGCACATTTGAGCTATCACACCTAGAATTCAAGACCTAAGGTAAGAAAATCACTTTCTTAATTGTGAATTTGAGCTACTTCTTGCATGGTTCATGGTAAATTGGTGATCTGAGTCAAGAATTGACTTAAAGAGTTGATTTGAGTAGCAAATTCACGCATGCATGTACATGTTCTTGGAATTTGAGGTTATTTTTAGAAAATCCTCACATGCATGTCCATTTTTTTAGTTGTAGTTCATGAATTCATCATGTTTTTAGAAGGATTGACTCATTTGATCGTGTGTTAGAATCTTTGAATTCAATTGAACACATGCACATTAAACGTACATCTTGTTCTTGAAGTTTATTTGAAATTCGTGCCTAATTGACTTACCCTTGGGTTTTGATTTTTCAAATTGATCTTCAAAAAATGTTATATTATGGGTTTAAAGTGTTTTTCCAGAAAATTGGCCCAAAATGATCGAATTTGAGGCTTTTAAAGTTGAGTTTTGTGCTTGGGAATGAATCTGGAAATTCTAGATTTTTGACCCACGCTCGAGCATAGGAATTCATGCTCGAGCGTACACTCTAAGTCGTGCATCTCCGCTCGAGCGTGGAAAGTCACGCTCGAACGTGAAATGCATATGCCCAGAAGTTCATGTGTTTTACAGTCCGCTCGAGCGAGAGAGTTTACGCTCAAGCGAGGACTTGAGTCTCACGCTCGAGTGGAGGTCGAGCGTCCGTTGAGTGTGAATTGCATGCATCCAGTACTTTTCATGATGTTTGCAGTCCGCTCGAGTGAAGGAAGTCACGCTCGAGCGGAGATCCTTTGTCTGCATGTCCGCTCGAGCGTAGAAAGCCACGCTCGAGCGAGACCCTTGTTTAAGGCATCTTATTGAAGACATTGATGTAGAACCACACCGAGTCAAGATAGGGACTAAGTTGTTGATTCCCAAGTGTGTAACTTAGTGTGTGTTCGTTCTGTAACTGTGTAGGGTTGGCATCCGAGGACGCTCATTAGCTGCTTATAACCTAGTGCTCTGTGAGTAACAATGTTGTAAAGATATTTTCAATCATGAATATTTTCTAAATGATCAACTGTACTACTTTTTGAAAAGATATTTCTTACTAAATGAATGTTTGTCCTATTTGTGAACTGTATTCGTGGCATCCATAGCAAATTACTGTTACTGTACTGTTACTGCTACTGTTACAGAGATCTCTGTCGGTTCCAATGTTGGAACCACTACTGTTTACTGTTATGATGGCCATCAATTGACTGTTCGGTCTGCTAAGACCTACTGTACTGTTTTGCTATTGGATGTACCACAAATAACTGCTATGGTTTCTAAGTGATTGATATGACTGTTTGAATACTGAAAGGACATTCATTCTTAACCCTTTTGCGCATATGTTATTCACTAGGTTTTAGCTCACTGTTTATATTTATATGTGGGTGTCTAGGCACTGGACTGGAGTTAGATGCGTCGAGTTAACTCCCTTTTGTCAAGCCAACCTTTGTGCCTCACTTCGAGGTTCTGAGTCTGTTCAAGCTAAGGCTTTTTGGGGTGTTTCAGCTCACCCTTCTGTCTCCATTTTGTTGTACTATTTAAGACTTGCACTGTACTGTCATGGTAGGGATTTGGTCCCTAACCTGAATGTCTGTGTATGATATATATCTGGTATGTAAATGTGTTTTGGTTACGAATGTGACTTGTTCATAAAAGTCTTTTTGCATTCAAACTGTCACAGCTCATTGGACACCCTTTTATTTACTATTTTGGCTTCCGACAGCCCCTTTACTCTGTATTACTGTCATTACTATTAAGCAGGCCTTCGGTAATCACAGATTACTGACCGGTTACGGTGCTAAACCCCTATGGGCGAGTTTGGGTCGTGACAATATGGAAATGGAAGACTGACCCATCTGGGGTGTTTCTGTTGCATCTGTGTACAAATGTTA